TCATAACTGTAATGACATATTTGATTTTATTATCTCATAAATCAACATTACAATAGTAAGCTATTACATTTATATTTCTACTCTTTCCGAAGAGTGGTGGAGATGGAATTTTTTCTCAGTTGTCACAATTTTGGTCTTATTTTAGGATATTATCAGGTAAATACTTTTTTTCTGTTGCGTTTCTTCTTATTATATTTCTATCTATTTATAATAGGCACAAGTGTGCGTCTCGGATAGGGTGTATAACTCATTCTTTTCTGTTTGATGTGGATTTTGCCACATATCGGGTAATTATGTCTTCTGCCATGGTTTGTGTTCAAAAGCTTTCACAAACCATTATGGTTAATTTTTATTATTTTCAGGTGGTTTTTACATATAAATGGGGTTTATTGTGATAGATAATAAATTGTTTGATTACTCAAATGACAATTACATAGGAATATATGGAGAATACCTAAACCTAAAGGCTTTGGGCCTAAACCCTAATCACTAATACCCTCGTAGTTTGATCAAAGGAGATGATCTGGAAAATAAACAAAACATAAAAGTGTACAAGTATAGATGAATATAATGGCATCGGTGATGGCAGAGCTCTATGATGGCCTATAAAAAAGAGTGCTTGTCAAAGAAGAAAATAGAAGAAGCGACGGTCAGAGGCTGTTTCGTTGAAGAAGAAGAAATGAGCGACGACGGAGACGATCATGGAGTCGGCGACAGAGGAGTCGAAGAGAGGCATCGAGAAAGAAAAATCACTTGAGCTACGGTAGACAGAGCCAATTTCAGTGACATCAACGACTATAGTGTTAATAGAGAGAAAGACAACTGCAGATCAAATGCTACCCAACAGAGAAAGTACCCTTGGAGGAAGGCAACATCAATATCAAAAGACACTGACTCAGAAAAGGGATCCGGAGAAGAAGAGGTCAGTTAAGGAGATGGTCCATCCGTGGAGGAGACAAAACGCTCGAAGATAAGGATCATTCGAGGAGGAGGCAGAAGTAGACAAGACATTAGAAGAAGTCAAGGATGGAGCTATGGTCTAGTATCGACAACTGCATTATTATTTAGGAGGAGAAAGAATAAATGAAAATATATTAAGCATAATGAAGCCACCTCCGATGACTATTAGAGAAGGTCGTCAGAGGCGAATGGTGGTGACTGCAGGTTGTGGTCAACACTAGGGTTTTAACTAAAGCTTTGCTACCATGATAGATTATAGAATGATTTGATATTGCTTGATTACCCAAATGATAATTATATATGAATATATTGCTCTGATACCATGTAAATACATGTGGATCCCAATATTGTCTCTCTAAAAGAGTCGTTGTAGAGACAAGATAGACTTTAACATATATAACCACTTATAAGAATGTGTCACGTTGAGATTACTAACACTCCCCTTCTGAGCTTGAGGCTCAATAAGGATAAAAACATATGTATTGGGTCACCGGGGGTACGGGACGCCGATTTTGATACCATGATAGATAATATATTTTTTTATTACATAAAAATGACAATTACATAGAAATTTATAAAAACTACCTAAACTCTAAAAGTCTTGGACTTAAACCCTAATCAGGTTGCTCATATTTCCTTCTTTTATTTTATTCATTCTTCTTCCATTGTTAATGTTGTTTTTACACTTTTTTTTGTTATGAAATGTCCAAAGATCATGCCAACGGGTCCGTGGTATCGATGATGACGGCCACAATCGTAGACCATATTGTGATAGATTATGAAGTTATACGAAATAACATAGAGTTTTTTATTCTTTGTTGTTTTCTAACATCTTATTAGTTTTAAAAAAAATTCGTTAAAAAATGTAATTATAAGGGTTGAGTAGCAGTAACATATACAATAGATAAAGAGAGTATATGTTAGTGCATCTTATATCGATATGACACAATCTTATAAGTAGGTATATATGTTAGAGTCTCATTTCTCTCCACACTGGCTCTTTTGGAGAGACAATCTTGAGCTCTACATATATTGACCTGGCATCAGCACCGGCGTCCCGCACCTCCTGTGGCTCAACACATCCATGATTGTCCTCATCGAGCCTCAAACTCTGAGGGGGAGTGTTAGTGCATTCCATATCGGTGCAATGCAGTCTTATAAGTGGTTATATATTTTATAGTCTCTTTTCTCTCCACAAGGGCTCTTTTGGAGCGAGAATCTTGGGGCTCTACATATATTTACATGGTATTAGAGTCGGCATCCTGCACCCCCGTGGTTCAGCACATCCCTATTTATCCTTATCGAGCCTCCGATTCTGAGGGAAAGTGTTAGTGTATCACATATCGGTGCAATACGGTCTTATAAGTGACTATATATGTTAGAGTGCCCATTCTCTCCATAAGGGCTATGTTGGATAGTTAATCTTAGGTTCCATATATATTTACAATATAATGTTGTCTTTAATTGAATAATGATGGGTATTGTCAAGAGTGTGAAAAACCATTAGTATTTTAGTTGGTGATTATTGAACATTAATATAGTTATTTGGCTCGATATGGAGTGGGAATATGAATTTTAGTTGCTAGGTCTTGGCATCATAATATTGATCTTGATTTTAAACATTTGAAGTTGAAAAATAGCCACGTTATCTTTAGACGCTAATGCAACCATAATTTGACACTTGTAATGGACCATACATCAAAACGATTGAGAGGGTTTATTTCAACATAAATAAAGAAAATTGAGATTGAACTCTCAACTTATTTAAGAAAATAGTGTCCTTAAAATTCAATACGTAAGTTTCGTGGATGCAAAAGGTCAAGCAACACCTAAGTTTATTGGATGGACGGATGTACTAAAGACGTGTATGATACGAATTTTAACGCATAATTTAACTAAACATTTTCTTTGAATATTGATTCGAAAAAAAAGAAAAATATCTCCTATTGTCCTATTTGATTACATGTCACTAGAAGGCTGCGCCACATGCAAAGCCTATAAATGACAAATCCCATACACGCAGGGTGGGGTTGTATTTTATATCAAGATAACAACTCCATATTTAACATGAAGTAGACACAATATTGGGGTCGATCTCATGCATGTATCTTAAATGTGAACGAAAATGACAACAATCAACCTTATATTTTGTTGTACAAGATTCATTGAAGTTTACCTTATAGTTTATTTCTTTTCGTTTACTAATGGGGTGTAAATAATAATGGTCTCAATAAATCTAATCTCGTGAAGCCTTTGGAAATATATTTGTTGAAAACGATGGACATAAACATATGGTAGACATGTCTCATCAAACAATGGCATAAGGCTAATGGAATACTCACTTTTTACCATGTCAATTTCACATACCAAATCAACGGCATGTCATTTCCCTCGTCATTTCATGCCGAATCGAAATTGATAGCTTGTGGGGTCTTCATGGAGTCCATCTTTGTGTATGTCTTGCGAGATGCTCACAAAGATGGTGTAACATTTATTTACAGTTTGTACGGATTTCTCTAGCATTTGGTCCGGTTGTGGTAAATGATGGGGGGTGAATGTTCTCTCCACAACTTTGTGGCTTCATTCATTATTAGTTTTTTTCAGGGCTACAGCCTTAGTGTTTTGACGTTGTTATTATCATTGCATTTTGGTTTTTGTGGAATTTTTCGTAATGCTTATATTTTTTGGAGTTGAGAGACTTAGGAAATTGGTCATTTTTTTTACAATATAGTGGATACATCACTTTTTTTAATAGGAGGAAAATTTGTAAGATAATTGGAAATTTTTGGATTCAAAACCTTTCTACATGTACTTTGTATGTAGTTATTATTTTACATTTCAACTATTTCAACCTTTCATCAGTTGTTATTATTTTTTAATACAAATAATATTTAACACTTTTAAAACATTTAATTAAAAATATAACATTAATAATGTTTAAGTTTTTCATTAAACTAAAAAATTAAAAATTATATAACAATAGCAAAAAATATAATTAAAACGATATAACGTTAACTAAAAATTACATCCTATTATTTGACGAAGAACATTTTATATATTATTATTTTAGTTGTTTTGTTTTATATGGTTTGTGTGGCCATTACAAACTCCTGTATATTTTGGGCTTCCTATATTTCTTGTAGGCCACTGTTTATTTCCAGCCACTCAAGTTTTATGTGAAGAACATCTCGCACCCCGACATTTTCTTGGTATTTGACCTTCGAATGGGAATGAAATTCATTTCAAGAAATCAATTAATGATGTGAAAAGAGGAAAACTCTCCTTTCCATTACATAACAATTTTTCTTTTCCCTTTTGTAAAAATTAAAATATAATTATTGATCATTTTTAAATAAATATTTCATTCTCTACGAACAACATGAATATAAGTAATGCTTTAACATATAAATTAATGTTTTTACACGGATTATTAATTTTGTACATACTTAATAATTTTTTGATAAAACTTCAAAAATGATCCATGTGGTTTCCGAAAATATTAAGTTTAGTCTTTAAGTTCAAAAAACCTCACAGATGGTCCATGTGGTTTCAAAACGTTGAACAAATGATCATTCCTCCTAACTCCGTCAGCTTTCTACCGTTAAGTGAGGATCATTTTCGTCATTTCAATACACAGGGACCATTTATGAGGTTTTCTCTATTTAAAAAAAACATATATAATTATTTAATTAAAGGGCCCCACCCTCTCTCTCTCTCTCTCTCTCTCTCTCTTTCTCTCTTTCTCTCTCCCTCTCTCTCTCTCTCTCTCTCACACACACACACACACACAAAAGAACCCATCTTAAACTGGATCTTCACTTTGTCGATGAACTCATCTTCCGCCATATCAAACGAAGAAGACTTATCCCCTTTCATCATCAAAACCTTCGCCTCGGGTAACCCCGAAACCCGACTCCACCACCTCCATCATTTCTGCAGATCCAAAGAGGTTGAGATCGAAGAAGTTTGCAAGGTTCATTATCAAGACTTCATAATGGCTTTCGATGACCTATGTTCTCTTCTTTCAGGCGTCAAATCACTTAAACATTCCCAACATTCCTAGCTGATGCACTTTGCTCAAAGATTGCATACTTAGTTCCAACATTTCCTGCAACAATTCCAATCATAATGGTTGTTATTAATTAGGTCTCAGTTGAAGAAAATCAAGAAATAACAACAAGAGTACTTACCTCCTGGGATGACAATTGTCCCACCAACAATTCCAGCTGCAGTGTTTGCAACTAGGTTGCCATAAAGGTTAGGAGTCACCTATAAGATTCAGTGAGGAAGAATGTGTAAAAAAAATGGAAATGATGGTGTATGATATATTAAGAAGATAAGATTAACATACCATGACATCGAATTGCTCAGGCTTTGAAACAAGTTGTATGCAACAATTATCAACAATGATTTCATTATATTTGATATTGGGATATCTTTTAGCAATCTCCCTAAAAGATTCCAAGAAAAGTCTATTTGCAAGCTTCATGATGTTTGCTTTATGAACAACTATTACAATCTTTTTGTTGTTGAGATGAGCATATTTAAAAGCATATTGTGTTATGCGTTCAGAGCAGAACTTTGTTATCACCTAAAATGACACCATAACCAGACACAACAGAAAGAAACTAATATACTGCAGTTCAAGAGTAGCCAATTTCACATAGGCATTTCATCGAACAACAAGCATGCGATGATAATGAAATTAAGAAACCCAAATGTACCTTAAGACTTTCAACGACACCAGGAACAACCTCATGCTCCAAACCCGAATACTCCCCCTCCGTGTTCTCCCTGATCACCACGATATCAACGTTCTCATGCCTAGAAGGCAACCCAGGCAAATTAAAACAGCTCACAAGCGAGATATACAAATCTAGTTCTTTCCTCAACAGAAGATTCAACGAATTAACCCCTCCGCCCACCGGCGTAATCAATTCGCCCTTCAAACAAACTCTATTCTTCTTAATCGAATCCATAACATCATCAGGTATCGTGTTCATGTCGCCATGAACTTCAAATTTCTCGAAGATAACCGGTGCACGCATTGCCTCGAAGACCTGTTCAACGGTGCCGGTCACCAAAGGGTCGATCCCATCGCCAGGGATTAGAGTAACGAGTCTTGGAATACCCTCTCCGGTAATAGGGTTAACTGGTATTATGTTAATTAAGAGAGAGAGAGAGAGAGAGAGGTGGGGCCTTTAATTAAATAATTATATATTTTTTATTTTTTTAAAAATAAAGAAAACCTCATAAATGGTTCTTGTGTATTGAAATGACGAAAATGCCCATCACTTAATGGTAGAAAGTTGACAGAGTTAGGCGGAAGGACCATTTGTTAAAAGTTTTGAAACCACATGGACCATCTGTAAGGTTTTTTGAACATAGGGACTAAACTTGATATTTTCGGAAACCACACGGACCATTTTTGAAGTTTTGTCTAATTTTTTTTACATGAATTATCAATAAATTTAGCTAAGTTGTTTTAAAATCTACCGTTGTGAATGGGTATTGTAGATTATGTATTTTTTTTTTCGTATACTATGTTCCAGTCATCTTATCCTTCCGATATTATCCACTCCCACCGCCATCGTCCTCCTCCAATCACAAACAACAAACACCGTCTTCCATCTCCATAATTCGCCACCACAATCACACATCTCCATTATTCACCACCACCGCCAATATACTAATCTAAAATCATTTTCAACATGCAACAAATTGATTCAAGCATCCGATCGATTCAAACGCATTAGAACCTAAAAATCAATTTAAATCACCAATAGGCTCAAACTTATATTACAGCAATAAAACTACATCCTTGAATGAAGCTGGTTACCTAGAGACACATGATTTGAGAAGAAAGGGGAGAGCAGGGGGATTTGGCGTTTTCACCGAAGAGGTAAAAGAGGAGATTGTGCGTTTTGTAATGGTTTAAAAATGAACACGTAAAATGATGTTTTGAATTTTTTTTTTTTTCGAATTGTTTGACCCAAAAAGATAACCAAAACTATGATGATGGCCAAAAATATATATATATATGAAAGTGACTAATTGTTTACAAAAGTTGTTTCAATAGTAAATAGAGTACAAAAATGTTTTTACTTTGTTTCTTGAACATGTATGAGTTTAATGGTGTTTCTTGAAGACTTGAGCAAATTACAAATCAACCGGCTAGACCTACAATAATCGGTCAGGATAAGAAACGTGAGTTTTATAGTCAAATTTATACGAAAAATAAAATGACTATATATATATATATATATGTGTGTGTGTGTGTGTATGTGTGTGCGCGCGTGTGTGTGTGTGCAAAAATTCAACAAGGAACCATTTTAAACATACAACCAAGAAATCATTATTTTTTCAAGTTTTAGATTATTTATCGAAAAATAATTTTAAAAATATATAAATTCATAACTTTTTATCTTCTTTCCATTGATATCAAATTTGATATATATATATATATATATATATATATATATATATATATATATATATATGTATGTATGTATATATATATATATTATTTTATTTGTTCAGATTCATATTGTGAATCTGCACTATAAATCATTAATTTTATATAAATTCGCTGTATGAATCTGCACAAACTCATAGTGTGAATTTATACAGATTCACAGTGTGAATCTGCACAGATTTCACAGGATGAATCTCTACAGATTCACAATATGAATCTAAACAAATCATTTTTTTTATCAAGTTTTAATATCAATGGATGGAAGATAAAAAGTTATGAATATTTATATTTTTAGTTTTTTTCTTAGGGTTTTTTTTTATCTAAAAGTTAAGAAAATATTGGTTCCTTGTTGAACCCAAACTTAAAAGTTGAGAATAAATCAACCTCTCTCTCTCTCTCTCTCTCTCTATATATATATATATATATATATATATATATATATATATATATATATATATATATATATATATATATATATATATACACATACACACACTTCAAAGTCAGTCGACTGTAACATTAATCAATCGTCGAAATTATAATAGGAAGTGATGGCATTTTTATGTACATAAAACTTTGTGTTGATAAACTAGTATTTAAATATTTAATAAACAACACAATATATATTTCCTTTAGATCATATATAAAATGTATAATTTGTTCAATAAAACATTGAAAATGCATCAATTTTCTTGGGGTGAATCAAGATTTTCAAGTTTACGTTGTGACTTTTTCTTGCATGACATTAATTATTAAATTATTATATAACCAAAGTACCCACCGGACATGGATCAAAGCTAAGTCTTGGATGATATTAAATACCCACAGTACCCATAGAACATGGATCAAAGCTAAGTCGTGGAGATATGAACTAACAAAATTAAATAAATTGAAAATGATCATTGAAAATTGAAGTCCATTAAATGAGTTAAATAGTTATTGGCCCATTGTCAATTTGTCATTATGATGAAACACAATAGTTCAAGTCCAGTCAACCAAAACTAACAATGATAATGTCTTCATCACTTCATGCATATGCGTACTTTGTCAAATTATATATTTTAAACATAAAATCTTTAAATTAATTTTAATTACATTTTAATCATTTGAATATATCAACGTAGATTGAAAACGTTTTAAAACGTTATAAAATGTTGAAACAGATAGAATAATATGACGCGTAAAGCCGTAAAAACTAAAAAAGGTCAAATGAGATAATCAACCTTTAGGACATCATAACATACACACCCCTTAATGATAGTTTTTTTTTGCTAACTAATTAAATTGGTGTTTAATTATATTTCGTTTGCCTTTTTTGTACATTTAGAACTCGCATAAAAAGAACTTTCATATTAATATGTGAATGTAGTCATACAGAGCTATTTTCTTTGAACTCTATCTTATGTAATTTCAAGTTTTTGTAAATTTCGAGGGTGTTTGAGAAATCTTTTAAAATTATTTTTAGAATTTTTAGCTTCTTCAAAAAACTAAAAGTTAAAAAAGATGTTTGAATATTTTAAGAAGTTCTTTTAAAACAATTTTTTGGCAAGAACAAAAATAAGCTTTTGAAAAATCATGATTATGACTTTTTGCAAATTTTGGGCTTTTAACTTTTGAAAAATCAAAAGATAAATCAAACACATTTTAATACTATCTTTTGTAAAAAGCTAAAAAATCAAAAAGGATTTTTGTCAAAAGAATTTTTTAACATGAAAAACAATCACAAACACCCCCTTCATCTAGATGGTATGCTCACGGCAGGGGCGGTAAGAAGTGTAGTCGATTCAAAGATTACTCTTAAGGGAGGAGAAAAAATTGATTAGATTCAAACACTCCCGACGAAGGTGTTATTTTTGTAAGTGTAGAGCAAAGTTGGGTAAATATCATTTGCAACAATTCTTTCTAAACGAAGTGTTTTTATTTCATCGACATGGTGTTCATTATGTGATAGAGGTGAAGATGAATCAGTGGATCATCTCCTAGTAAGTTGCTTGTGTGCAACTACTGCTCTCGATTTGATTCCCGATTGGTGCGGTATCCCTCGACAATTATTCTCAAATGTTGGTGAACTGTTGAACTTTGGAGCGAGATGAGGGAACTGTCCAAAGAAACGCATGAGATTAATGACAATTCTATATGGTCTTTTATGGCGAATCTGCAAAGGTAGAAACAATAAGATTTACAGCAATGTGATTACATCTCCAACTATAATTGCTTATCACCTATGATGTGATATCGATGGTGTATTATTGGCACAAACATAGAGAATCTCATAATTCATGTAAATGGTTTTAGTGGTGTTGATCACCATTCCACTATTGGAAATTGTAAGCTGTAACGCTCTTTTTTTCTCAGCTAGTTTCTTGCTAGTCGGGTGGTTTTGTTAATATTATTTTCGTTTCAATATATATATATATAAAATTTTACATTAACAATAATTGTTATTTATATTAAATCAAATCCTTATGTTTAATCCTTCACATTTCTATTAGTTGTCTTGTTAATATATTCTTATAATTAATCTCATTATTCTAATAAAAAAATAAATATATTCTCTTTTTCTCACCTATCATTATATTAGATCTCCTAATTAATGTCATACTACTTGTCAATTTATTGATTCTTCATTTTAAATTTCAAAAATTTCCACTCTAATTATATTAAATTAATAACATTAAAATAAAATTAATACAAATTATAAGGTCACATATTTGTTTAAATCAACGATTATAATTTTATATAACTAAAAAAACATCACTTAATTTATAATTTATTTAAAATTATTGAGTGATAATTTTGAGTTTTTTGCTATGAAAGTTTAATTAATTTTATAACCGTGGTTCCCACAAGTTATAAACTAGTTTGTTATATATTAAACGCAATGCAGTTTTAGATTTTTTGTGGGATTTTAAAAAGGGCAAACGTTACAAACGAATTAATATTAATATAAAATGCACATATACATATCGTGATATGATTAGTAAAGGAAAAACCACAGATAAAACGAACATATAATTGGCTTTTAGTTTATTACGGTAGATAACATTAAATACATTATATATTTATTTATTCATTTTTTTAATTTGTTATTGTCTTTTTTCTAAATTGAAAGTTATATTATCCAATTTTGATCAATATTGACCACTTAACTGGTAAACGGGACGTTTTCTCCCGGCAACACCTTTGATGTCTCTCTTTTCTTATTAAACTCTCCATTACATATAAACCCTCCATTACATGGATGCTATCAATGCTAATATGGAACATGACACCAAAACGCCATCCACCTTAGCCAAGAGGCTAATTAAATAGGTTTTCTAAAAATAAAAAAAATAAAAAAAATAAAAAAAAAGTGGGTGTTTCGATAAATAGTTTTTAACTTATTAGTTTATTGCTTATTTGTTTATTGCGGTGAGAATAAACATTTTTTTGAAATGTGTTTGGATTAGCTTATTGCGGTGAAAATAAGCAATAAACATTTGAAGTGTTTGGCAAACAAAACAGCTTATATGAGTAAAATAATCAATAAGCAATAAGCAATAAGCATTCCCCCATTGCTTATTAAAATCAGCT